ACACCGTGGGTCTCATACCCCGACTGCCTGGTGCCCACAAGTGCCTCCCATTGGGCATGGGGGTCTGGCAGAGTTGGGGGGGGGATGCTGCCACCCCAGAGCACCCAGGCTTATCCTTCCAGCTGGAGCAACCCCCACTTCCCACAGCACTGTCCATGAGTTCCCACAGCCAGGTCAGGGATGAACCCAGGAGTCTGGGCTCCCTGCTCCTCCACGAGACCCACAGGACCCTGCTCCTTTCCCAGGAGAACCCAGGAGGGGGTCCTTGACCACTGCTCCCCTCCCACAGACGGGCAGGGACCCAGGCGTCCGGGCTCCTGGCCCCACTGCTCTGCCCTACCAGGCAGACCCCGCTCTCCTCCCCGTGGTGGAATTTAGGGCTCTGGCACAGGGTCTTGCCGCCACCCAAACCATGCTGGACCCCAGTGTCTGGGCACCTCACCTTGCATGAGGATGTGGCTCTGGTTCCAGAGGCCAAAGCAGCATTCGCTTTGAAGGCACTGCACAGCGCCAGGCTCGGTGCCCGTCAGCGCGCGGCCCTGGTGCCGCAGGCTGCCCCGCACGCTGGGGTGCTCGTAAAAGATGCAGCTCCTGCCCAAGACGCCTGCGGAGACATGAGGCTGGGCTGGGTCCCGGGTGGAGAGACCCCCCCAAGTGCCGTCTGTCTTGTTCCGTACCTGCCAGGCCCAGGCTCAGCCCCAGCCCCCCGCATAGGTTCGTGGCCCCGGAGCCCATGGTGGCCGTGGCCCGTGCTCCGTCTCCTGGCACCTGGAGCATGCGTGTGCGTGCGTGCGTGTGTGTGTGTGTGAGCCCACCCCGGGCTGCCCGCTGGCCCTCCCTGGGGGCCGGCACAGGTGGGAAGGACTTGGCCGGCTGCATGCGGGGGCCGGGGCTGGGATGCTGTCAACAGCCGGAGGCTGGATGAGAAACAGGCGACGGGACAGACGGGGGTACCGCATCCCGGGGCACCTGGTCCCAGCTAAGATGCAACCCCACTTCATGCGCTCCCCAGCTCCAATGGCTTCGGGATTAGAGAGCTGTGCCCGTGGGGCAGGCAGCTCCCCAAAGCCTGGCTACCCCCAGCTGGGCCCTCAGCGCCGTTGGGAGAGTCCAGCCTCCCCCACAGCTGCAGCAGGATCGGCCTCCCCACTGCCTGGGCTCATGTGCAGCCATTGATTTGCTCCACCCCAGAAGCAGCTGCATCCCCCCCTACGCCAGCCATGCATTTCAGGGGGAGCTGGGCCTGGCTCTATGTAGGGACCCCCCAGCATTTTACCCGCTCATCTCTGGACCCTTCCCTGAGCCCCTACAGCCCTGTCACCGCAAGGTCTTGGAGAGCCCGAGCTGGCCCTGAAATTAGGAGTTTGGCTCTAAAATCCTGTGATTTTAGGAGACCACCACATCCTACCTGATAGGCTTGTGCATGTATGTGTGTGTATACAGCTTGCCAGGCTTCAGCTCCCGCCTGATGTGGAAGAGCCCAGCCTCCCCCTCAAAACCCAGGTGACAGCCTGCAGGTACCCCCAGGTTACTGCCCGTCAGCTCCGAGTCCTGAGATCCCTTCTGCTGTTAGTTGCAGACCCTCGGTGAAGGATTTTCTCCAGGTTGTGCAAGCTGCTGGGGTCTGCAAAGCTCCCAGCCCTTGGAAAGGGAGGCAGGTTCTCCAAGCACACAAGGCTCTTTGGTGACTAAGGTTAGGGGAGCAAATCTCCAAGAGACCCCAAGTGATTTAGAACCTTCCTGGCTTTGGGACTCTTAACACTGAAGTCAATTCCCCACCACGTGCCTCAGTTTCTTCCGCTCTAACACGACAGTGGGAACCCGGTCTCTTTTGTAACAGGCTTTGGGACTGGCTGCAGAATGGTGCCAACGTCACAGCTGAGGGTATCAGGACGAGGACAGCAGGCGTGGGACATGTGCTGGCAGACAGGCTTCTGCAGCCAGGACCTCTGGAGAGAGACACATGAGAGACACGTACCTTTGCCTGCCCTCACTTGCATTGAGAGGCAGCACTCCATGAACTCCTTGGAAAAAATATCCTACAGGCCCCTAATATAACTTTGCTTTCCCCTATTCTGACAGCGCAGTAAAACAAGGCTGGAGCAGGGCTGCATTTATGGCAGCAACCAGAGAAAAGAAACGGGTGCCAGAGGCAAGGGCTTGGCCTCAAGCGCCCACCTACAAGCAATGAAACAGTCTTAAGTACGAAACGGGCCATGCTGGATTTGAATACAACTCCATAGACGCTGGTTTATTACCTTTAAAAAAAAAAAATTGTCATCCGTTTACAAAGGAGCCAAACTACATTTAATATCTAATCTTTGTACAAAAAAAATAGCACTTTTAAAATGTGTTTCAGACATCATTACATCGGCAATTGGATTAAAAAAAGCACAGAGACATCATTACAAGATAAAAGGGTCTTTACATGGATACAGAGGATTATTGCCAGTGTTACAGAAGGTTGCGCGCGGCGGTGATGGGCACCCAACACCGAAACCCCCGCCCCGAGGGAAAGCGCAGTGAGCGGCGGGAGGCACTGGTGAAATGTCTCTGCGGCTCCTCGAGGGCCCCACGGCAAGATCCTTCCCTCTCCCCTCCACTCTGTAATGCATAGAAGTAGTGGACACGTGCCTTTTCCCCAGCGGGTGGTGGGAACAAGGGGTAATGGGATTCTGGGGAGATTAAAGCTAGGCCATTCCCAACCATCTATGGCGTCAAAAATTGCTTCGAAAACAAGATATTCCCGGGACGAGGCCGATTGGCAAAGGGGACCCCTGGCTGAACATGGCTTTACTGCTTGGAGCCCCTGTATAAAAAAAGGCACATTTGATCCCGCAGGCACCTGCGGGCTAGGGACTATACAGTGCTCCCACAGCCCCGGCCTAGGGTCCCCCAGGCAGCGGCCGGCTGGTGTGTGCTTGAAGGAACAGTGCAATTTAAGGGGAGCAAGACCCTGGCAGCAAAGGGAGGGTAGGGGAATCGGGGTTCACCTACCAAGTTGGAAACTGCCGCATCGCTGCCCAGACAGCTCCAGCCCAAACCAGGGTTGTTACTGAGGATACGAGGCAAGGGTCCCCAGGCCTGGCATGGATGGGAACCGGTGCCCTGGATCTTTGCCAGGGTGGGATGTGGCCGCCTCGCACCTGCTGCAAGCCCAAGGCGGCTGCAGCCACGCCAATGCCAACAGAACTAGCCAGCTAATACAGTGATGCTAACAAGAGCAGAGGGAACCAAGCCAGGAGGTGGAAGAAGCCCAGTGCTATCTGCAGCCGTGAGAAATCAGCACTGGCAAAGAGGTCCCAAGGGAAAGGATCTGTGCACCTTCAAGCCACTAGAGCCTTTGGTGGCCCAGGTGAGCCCCGTCCCTTTGCCCTGCTCCCGCTCCCTGGAGGCTGGGGTACGTACAGGTAGTTCAGCTCTGCACATTAGCTGGCCCTGGCATGGACTAGGCTAGCTCTCAACATCTCTATTCTGCTGGCTGAGCCCGTGTCCTGCTTTCGGCTGGAAGCTGCTGCTCTGAAGCTAGCAAGAGCAAACCCTGGACCTCAGGCCAGACAGCCCGGGAGGCTGCTGCTTTGCATGGCACAGGCCCTGGTTCTGGGAGCAGGAAGTCTGCAAGGCCCTTCCTGCTGGGTGTGTTTCCATAGGAAAATTAACATCTTGGCAAACTGCAACAGCAGTTCTGGTGCCCCAATGGGCAGAGCCTCCCTCCTCCAGGGCATGGGCTCCAGTGCTTGCGTTTCTGGGATGCCATGAGACCCCATGGGCTCCAAACAGCCTCACCCTCTCAGGCCTTGCTCGAGAAATGCACAATACTGTCCACTCCTTCCTCATCAGATCCCCCAGTCCCGCAAGGAAAAAATTTGGCACCTAAATCCTGTCATGTCCCTTCCAGACGCATCAGGCTTCTGCACTGACAAGCTGGGGTGAGACGGCAGCTAGGACGGATGGACAAGGGGCAGGACAACATGCTCTCGCTAGGGACATGGGCTCTGCCAGATGGCACGTACTGGGCAACGGTGCTGAACACCAGCCACGCACCATGTTGTAACCTGCAAGGATCTCAGAGTGCTCCAAATCCCCCTGGATACATCAAGGCCAGCGACAGGGAGGAGATGGTAGCGCTCTCTCAAGGAGCTGCCTGAGACATAGGAGCTGACCTAGCCCAGTGGGGCAGGGAGATCGAACAGTGTTGAAATACTGCTTCCTATCGAACCCGCAAACTTCCCAGGTGGGCGAGAGGCGGAAAGTCCCGACGCACGGGCAGGGGTCTGCGTCTGGGATTCATAGTGCTTCACAGATTGGTACAAAAATACAAATGCTTAACGTTTCCTCTATAAAAATATACAAATGCAAAAATAGAGAGAGAGAGAGCAGAAAGATGTCAGCCAGAAAAATGTACAGCAGGAGTTCTCCCTCCCTCCCTCCCTCCCTGCAGCTAGGTAAAAAACACTAGGTAAAACATGTTGACACTTCACAGTTTGGCTGGGCTGTGCCCACGGCCAGCACCTGCCGACTGCAGCCCACAGAGCAGGAGGTAAATGGATCGACAAGGCATTAAGATCCCGTAGCAGAAACCGGTGGAAAGGGAGAGGGCAGGGTGAGGGCTGCAGAACAGCCTTGCGCTAGTAGTTAAACCCCCCCACCCTGCAAATGCACAAGGCAGCAAAGCTAATGCTGGAGCCTGCACGGCCCTCAGCGATCCCTTCTGGCCTTCTGCTTGGAGCCGGGCTAATACCTAGTGGCCAGGGTGTGCTATAACACTCACCCCCAGCCTGTCCCAGGGACCTGGATCATATCCAAGGGAAAAAGGGGAGCAGAGCTGGACCTCGGAGAAAAGGGCACCATAGTGGAAAGGGAGAGAAGCTGCCCCTCTGCAGCACCAGAATCACGGGGTGGGAAGAGACAGAACAGAACGCAGCAGGGAACCCTGATCATTTCGTCCTCTCCACAGTACTTGCTCGAATCTCCTTGCCTCAAGCCAACACAACTGAGCGCAAGGAGCTTGGCTAGCCAGACCATGCCAGATCCCAGAACCTTTCTGGGCCCAGTCATCCCCGAGCAGGGCACTGTTCACTCCTGCTGATGGAATACTCCAGCTTCTCCCAACATCCCTGTCCAAAAAGGCTTTACGCCCCATCTCCCCCCATTTTCCAAGCAACAGTAGATGAGAAGCAGCCTGATGCATTTGGCCAGAGCATCTCTTAGCATCTGTGCCCCAGGGCTGGGATCTCATCCAGTCAGTTCAGGATTCTCTGGATCTGGTCAAGGATTGTTAGCGAGAGTTAAGATCCTGCATTATTCTTCCTGAGCCTGCTAGAGAAATAAGACGGGGTAACTTCCCTCTGCACGGGACGCTGATATGTCAAGTCTCCCAGTTTTCCTTAGGTAGGCCAAACACAAATACGCATGTGAACTACATGTCAGCATCACATTCCTTTTTCTTTAGGAAGAGACAACATGGTCACCAGTTCTGAGTCAGGGTCTTAGCAAGTTTGTTTCATCTAATGCTGTTTGGAGATCTTCCAACCAATCTGTTTTTGTCCCTGCAAGTCCGTACCATGCACACACGCACCAAAAGCCTTCTGTGGAGTTTTCCCAGCAAAGAAAGTCCTGAGCGGGAAATTTCCTAGAGTCCAACCCCTTCTACCCATGCGCTGAAAAGTCAGTGAGAACAGTGGGACCGGGACATGAAAACACACTGATTCTGCTGTACGGATTTGCACTTTCACCTGCAATCTGCTTCTTTCTTCCTCGATCCAAGAGGCCAAATGCTGCCCTGCACAAGCAAACCTGGATTTGGTTTTAATACACTCTGATACATATTATAAAATTTGCTATAAGCAACAGCCCCACCCCACAAAGGGATTTTATTTTCAAACTTTTCCAACAGAACTTCCAATATAAATCTTTCTGGATATTATACACACACCCAGACAAGGATATTTATCCTATGGCAGAGTAGCTGTGATGCTATCTAACACTGACTCCAAGATTCCTATGATTCCCTGGCATAAGGGCAAATCGAAATCAAAGCACCTGCCTGCACTAAAACGATCAGCACGACAGGGGGCCGGAATACACAGCCATATCTACACTTATTTCTTTTTTATGAAAAAAAAAACAACATGCCAGAACATCGCTTCTTGTCGTAATTAAATAAAGTTCGCTCCGCTCCCCAAGGAGTGTGCTATCTCCTCTCTCCACTGGCTGCCTCCAAAGACGACCCGCTAAAGAAATCATGAAACACTAAAGGCCACGGGAGAACCACAGAGACGCAGCTGTGTTAGACACGGCAGAGCCCTAGATGCCTCAGGGCAAGGGAGGCCGGGTGATATATGCTACTGCCGGGATCCTTTATCATCTCCTTCCTGTACCAGGGGATCTCTATTTGCAGGGACAACTTGCTCTTTTTCAACAGGGCTCCACAGAGGCTGCAGGGGAAAAGGGAAGGTTGTTTTGTTGTGGATACAACAGGAAGAGAAGGGTGGGGAGGAAAAGAGTAGGATGTGGTCGCCCAGTGCTGCTTAGGACTAAAAATGCCCCCTCCAACCCACCTGCCTAGTTTAAGAGGACTCTGCCCAAAAAAAGACGAGGACCTGGGGGTAAATGTCTCTACTTCTAATTGCCAAAAAACCCATGTCCAGGAGTTAAAGGGGGAAGCCTTGGAGCTCAAAGCCATGTAGTGTTGGGGGAAATACCCTGCAAGGTGCCACACTAGTGCCACCTAATGAAGATGCATGGCTCCTACTAACCACAATGTGCTCAGAGGCCTTGTCCATGCCCGCGTGGCTGATCCAGCCCATGGTCTGCCCATTCCACCAGCTCTCTGAGCTGCCCTGCTTCTCAATGCACCCCAGCCTACAGCTCAGGGGTGAGAACAGACCCACAGTTCCTTCCCTCCTGCCCCAGGTGGACCGAGTGCTACCTGGCAGTTTTTCTCTCCGCCGCATCTTCCGCACGCTTGTGGCTTTCAGCCACTTCAAAACCTGAGGTGAAAATGACCCGGGTCCCTCCGACTGGCCCTGGAAGTGCTGTTGCTCACGTTTGGTTTTTAAGACCATGGACTGCTGAAAAAAACAAACCTGCCCCAAACATTTCATGTCCCTCTACCTCCTTCCCTGTTTCCACCCATCCCCAAAATGAGAACATGCTACGGGTCCCAGCCCCTCCTATGGTAAATAGCTCAAGTGAACCCGCACAATGACAACAAACAACCCCCCCTCCCCTTACAATCGATTTAACATGTACACATATGAAAGAGCACGGATTAAAATAAAGTGGGAAGAAGAGGGGGACAATTTAAAATTAAAAAATAACCACGGAGGAAGGCAAAGGGTGACTGTTTTACAAACTCACCCCAATAATTAAAATAAACGGAGGGGAGAAAACAACAAAAAGAGGGAGAAACCCAACCCATAGAGCCTAAAAGCAAAGCATACGGAACGGCTAAATGGTTTCCGGTTACAATGTAAAATGTAATTGAGCGTCTGAACAGCAGCTTGGGTGCTGCAATACACAGCACCTAAGGGCGTTGTCTGTTCAAAGATAAGGCATCCAAAAAAGAGAGACCAAAGGAGTTTGGTCGCAGCAATTTCTCTCCTCTTGCCAATGGACATTTTATATTTTATATATTTATATATAATAATAATAATAATATAGAATCTGATTTTTTTTTGTTTTTTCTTGCTAAAAAGTTATTTCGATGATCATATACATTTAACCAAGGCATGATGGTGGCGCGGGGGACTGACGGCAGGGAACAGAGGGAGGCTGTTTACGGGGCAGGGGCTGGGAGGGGGAAATAAGTTGAGTCAAGAAGATCTCCGGCCTCCCCACATAGTCCCGGGCAGAGGTTTGCCAGGCTCTGGGGGCTGGAGTGCAGGGAGCGCTCCTGGCAGAGGGGAGCTGGGTTTGAGTGCTGGAAGGCGCTGCTCCCCCACCCACTCGGCACACCTGGCAGGACAGATCGATCCGCTCCCTCTCCGCGCGCCTCTTGGACCCACACTCGCTTGAACCCCTGGGCGCGTGCACCGCACCCAGCATGCCGTCCATGCGGGTCTCAGAAGCCATTGCCGCTGATGTTGATGGATTGGAGGTCTGCCACCTGCATGATGCCACCGCCAGTGAGGCGGGCGATACCCTCAGGGCAGATGGCTTCCATGGCCACCATGTTGGTGGCAATGAGGGCAGACTGAGCGGCCCCGCTGCTGCCCTCTGAGGAGGCTGCTGTGTCCATGGGGACGCTCATGGCCACATTTCCGGCCGGGCCGCCCTTCTTGTTCTGGTGTGTCTTGATGTGTTTGGACAGGTGGTCGCTCCTCATGAAACGCTTGGGGCACTCGGGGCAAGCAAACTTCTTCTCACCTGGAGGGAGACACAAGAGGCAGGTGGATCAGCTGGGCCAGCAGAGGCTCACTCAAAGTCCCTGAAGGAAAGCCACCTCCTTCCCTCTTCCCCGGGTGAGAAGCACCTGGGCTGGGTGGGCTAGCAGCGAGGGGTGCAGCCCAGAATGGCCTTTCAGGCCTCGGAGGCCCATGCTCGGAGGCCCCCTCACAGAAGCCTGGAGGCCCATGGGTTTTCCAACCTCCCTGTTTTTTGTCACAGCCCATGGCCCTCTGGCTGCTGCTTCTAGCACAAGACTTAGACGACCCTCAGCAAACAGGCTCTCACTGCGCTGGGTTCTAGTCTGTGACATAAATGCCTTCGTGGGATCCAGCAAGAAGGATTTACCTACCCCAAAGCCTGAATCTGTTATGTGGACATGCCCAAACCCTCTCCCCAAACACAGTGGGACCAGATGCTGCTGTGTAATACACAGACAGAGGCTTTGCCCCAGCAAAACCCCACAGATACTCCTTGGCAGGGCTCTGCACAGAGGACTCATCCCATTTGTATGTTAGGAAGAGCAGGATCAGGCTCTGGCTCAGTTCTTTGGGTAATTCTAGGACATGAGCTCAGATCCGCTCCTGGTAACTGCCCTGCCAGCATCTGCTCTAGCTGCTCCTTTCATAAGGGCAGCTAAGGAGCAGAGGCTACCTCAGCTGAAAAGCCTGGGGAGGATTTGCTGGGTGCTGTTGCAATGGAGCCAGCAAGTAGCAGCTTCGTACAGCAGGTGGTGCTAACCACCCGCAGCCCCCAGTCCAGAGCTGAGCAGCAGGTGAGTAAGCACAGGGATCTGGCCAGTGGGAGGACCCTGGAAACTGTCACAACCAGCTGGCGTGTCACCTGGCCAGTCCTGCCCTATGCCTACCTGTGTGCGTGCGCTTGTGCCTTTGGAGCTCGTCTGAGCGCGTGAAGCGCTTGCCGCAGTACATCCAGCTGCACACGAAGGGGCGCTCGCCTGTGTGCCAGCGCAGGTGTGCCCGCAGGTGCGAGGTCTTGCCGTACACCTTGCCACAGCCTGGCATGTGGCAGATGTGCTGCTTCTTTTTGCCTGGATCCCCAGAGGCCCTGAAAGAACCAAAGGGACAATGAAGGTGTTACACAGAAGAGGCCATCTGCTCTGGAGATAGGGTGGAGAACAGTCTCTCAGTAAGGAGCAACACAGGTTTACTGAGGTGACAGATCCCAGCTCAGAGGGCCAAGAGCTGCCTCCTGACCAGGTTCTAGGCAACAGGCCTGCTTGATAGGGCAGTTTAATGGGGAGAGGTACTAGGATCCCTCCATCCTGTTCGTCGCTCTGCACACACATTAGCAAGTTCAGTGAGCCTGAGCTCAACCACATGCAAGACAAGGGAGGCCCCTCTGCCCTCCCTGGGGTAAGGCATCCAGGAGGCATGCGGAAGCTGCCACACATGATTATGTTGGCAGGCAGCTTCCAGCCCTTTGGCAGGCAAAGGTTATAGAGTCCAACAGGCAGTGCGCACTTGAAAGCTCCCCTAGCCCAATTCAGGTGGGACCTTGGACCAGGAAGGTGAGGGTGCTAGAGGGATTGGGTTGGCTGGGATTCAACCATGAGCCGAGGCAGCTGGTCACTGCACACAAACTATTGTGGCTGGCAGGCAGACCCATCCCAGCACCCAGGGCTTACGGCATGGTTGGGCAGCGGTTTCTCCCCACTTCCCTGTTGTAAAGTGGGTGAAGCAGGTCTGGGGTGGCCCTGTCTTGCTCTAACCATTTCTTCTGCCCTGGGCTCCCTTTCCCAGGGAGAGCCCTGCATTCAGAACCAGGCTCGCTCCAGCTGTGTATTTAATGAGCCGCTGTCCCAGCAGCAAGCTGTGTCTGTACACCTGACACTGTTCTCAGCAACAAAACAGCCCCAGTCTGTAACCCTGTGCCCATAAACGCAGGAATTCTCTGTCTAGCACTGATAACAGCCCCTCATTACTTGTGGGAGAAAGCAGCTGCTTGACATCTTCCCTTTATGAGCGCAGCTTGAGGGGCACTGGAGGACAACAGTGCTAGCTCCAATTGACAGAGCGTGGGGAGACCTAGCTTGAGCTCCCCTCCCCCAGCCCAGCTAACGTCACCCAGCCTGACACGCATCCAGCTCTTAGTTCCTTCTACCCTGTGTCAGGTCCACAGGGCACTGACCCAGGTAGGCCGAATGAGCGGTTCCAGCAACCTGTGGGGATCACACAGCACATGACCCTCAATCACTGTTACTCCCCGTCTGGCCTCCTGGGAGAATGATGCAAAGTTAGTTATGGCAAGACAAAGCATCCTGCTTTGCTAGGAGCCTGACCTAGATTTGGTTTGGTTACGGAAGGAAAAGGCTCCAACCTCCCTCTGCTCTCTGTGCCACTGAGCCCCAGCAGCACTGTACCCGCCTCTTTATTGCCGCTGGCAAATCCTACCTCCCTTCGCTGTCTTTGCAGTATGGACAAGTGCAGGCTTCTCGCCGTATTCTCCGGCTTTGCTGAGGCTGCGGGTCTGGACTCGTCTCCCCTTCTTCCACAGCGGTGCCATCATCTGCCAGCCCATCACCACCTGCCCCATGGAGGCCCAGCTGAGCAGCGTGGTCACCTGGAGAGAAAGAAGACTCTGTTACTACTGGAATCTGCAAGGAAATCAATCAGGAAAGGAATGTGAATGCATGCTCTAATTGCCTTGGGCGCACTGTATGAGGGGGGAGTTTTGTGGCACGCATGCCCCAAGAAGCAGCTAGGAAGCAGGCACTGCAGATGACAAGTAGAAGGCAGGTGACAATCCCAGAGAGAAACATCCACAGCACAGCAACCTGCCTGCGCTCAGCAGATGCTCCGTGCACTGTTCAACGCAATGTGAAAGCTCTATTCAGACATGAACATCACGACTGAAAGTTCTGCCATGGCCCCTGGAAAGAATTACCAGGACAAGCATCTCGGACTCCACCCAGCACTCATCTCCCCGCTTTGTGTTCCTGGGAGGCAGGAATTAGCTGCCCCTCTGAGGACCCTTGTTCCCTGGCACAGCTAGTCTATGGGAAGTCACTGTAGTTCCCAAAATCCAAGACAACTCCCTGGTAATTAGATTCTGGACATGGAAAATTAAAACGTTATAATTTTCCATGCATAGTATCTAATTATTGGAGGGTCATCTTAAAGTTGTGCCCTACATTGCTGCGGTGGGGAAAGCAGAAGGGGTGGAGAGGGATGGGAGGGGAAGGCAAGCCAGTCCAGGGTAGGCAGCAGCTCTGGCCCTGGGCCTGGGTCAGAGCTGGAACAGGAGCTGCCACCTGCCCTGGGCTGGTGCTCAAATCCAACACAAAGCTTCCCCCCCTCCACCTCCACACTAAAAGGGGGTGGGGAACGACTTTGTCTCGAAGTCACGTAAATACAGTATTGGTTCTGCCTCAAGCACGAAGCTTCCTCATGCCATAGGGTTGCAAAGGACGATGCCACCCCATACTTTCTCCCAAGAGGAAGACTGAACAAATTCCTTTCCCTTCCTTTCCCCCATGAGCGCATGGCACAGACTTACACACTGAAACAGCCTTTATTACCCCACAGATTTGCCTGCACTATCAATCCCACCACATTATCTAAGTTGAAGGCAGTTGTAGAGACATGTCTTTTTCAAGGAGATAAGCGGACTAGTTTAAGGAGTAGGCTGGTAATGGTATCAATTCATCCTGTTAACCAAGAGGGGAAAAGAGACTAAAAACACCACCAGAGGTGTCCGGTCTGAAAGAACAGCAGGGACAAAACAAGCTCCATTGAGTAAAGTTAACAAAGGCTCTGCCTCTGACTTCACTGGTCCAGACCTCGCTCCTGACATCTAGATTTCTGCAGAGGTTCAGACAACTCTCTCTTCCCTTTCTTACTTGTGAGTCTGTCACCCTGTTCTACTGCATGGCTTCCTGTTCCCCATGCACCGAGCATATGGCACACCTGGCAATGCCAATCAGTGTCAAGTCCAACCTGAACTTTAAAAATTCACGTGTTCCCACCCCAGAGATGATCTATGCTGTTTTAAGGCTATTCAGAATCAGAGGCAACAAAACAGTCCTGGATTAGCTCGGAGCACTGAAAAGTTCTGCTTACAATAGAAGTGCGTATGGTACATTTGTGGACAGAAAAGGTTCCAGCGATGTTACATTTGCGTGCCAAAGCCTGCGTCCGAGTGGGGAAAAAAACAGAACCTGGGAAGTTTCACTTGGCACAGTTCTGAAAGGGGCAGATGCAGGATTCACAACCCGCTCCCCACAAGCCACAGCCGGCTCCTACCAGGCTGGCCACTTGTACTGGAGGCAGCAGAAAGCCAACCAGGGCATATCAGAGACTGCGTTAGCTCCTCTTTTCACCAAGGTCACTCACATTTATTAGCTTGCATTCCTAACTCCAGCCAAGGGCTGCGAGTTGAGAAACAAGTGAGAGGAGGCAGATAACAAAGGTGGATGATTCTCACCCTTCCCAGACAGAAATGCATCTGTTTTTCCACTACAAAGAGGCATTTCGGAGCCCTGCCATGGCCACATATGGGGGATAGAAACCCACATTACTTCAGGCTCTGGCCTTAAAAGGAGCAACAAGGAAGACTGCTTTAGTGCCCAGCCAAGAAGGGGGCCATGCTGTGAGGTTTTAAAATAATCGTATAACCCCCAGCTTATCCCCGGCAAAAGCTTCTTGCTTGGGAACTCTGTGCTCAGACTGTCAGCCCAAACAGAGCAGTGTTTCCCCTTTAAGTATCTGCTTAGTTGAAAATGATGAAAGCGCCAATCCGGGAGCAAACCCAGTGAACAGATGCAAAGCCTCCCAACGATAAAACCGAAGCGCGGCAATAAATAAAGCAACCGGGGAGCCTGTCGTTCGAGGAGCGTCTATCGGGGAAGATGTTATTGGAGCACGCTAGTTGGTTAATGACTGTGATTACAGGAAGGGATGTATAATGTTGAAAAATCATCTGGAGCATTTTGTGCGCTGCGTTCGCGCTCTCAAGGAGCGCCGCCTAATTAGAAAAGCCATAGGAATTACAGAGCAGCACTGACAAACTTCCAAACCAGACACACATAAACCATTTGTAAAGGGGGGAGGGGGGTAGAGGGGCGAGAAGCTTTTAGGCCTATCAGTTTTCATTTCCGTTTTATTGCTCCACGCTTATGCTGTTATTTAATTGCATCTTCAATAACCTCATCTACACTCCTCAAGTGTTTTATTTCCCTTCAAGCTCCACTGCTTGATTATGCCCATGCTGAAAGCAGTAACTGGTGTGCAGACAGCAGGCTGAGTAATCTGTTTTCAGCTGCAATTAACATATGCCAATAGGTCCAACAACAGATTTAAAATGCGTGTGGCTGCGTCAAGACTGAGGCGCGAAGCCCTTCTGGGGTGGGAAGAGCCGCCTACAACAGAGGTAAGATGCCAGTGGGTTTCTATCTACACACCCCCAAATCCATAAGGCAATCTGGGATGCTGCTTCAGAGGCCTAGGGGAGTTTGCAGCTCGAGTTTGGGATTGTTTGGTCATGGGGCTGATCAGCTACAGCCACCCTCTGCCTCCCAGGAGCCAAGACAGAACCAGCCCTCTCCTGTTATGTGCACAGGTGCAGATTACATTGCTGGGCTTCGGGGTTAAGCTGCACCTGTGCTAAGTGTGTTTCAAAGTGGTTTGGCCCCATCTACGCTCAAGACTGCTGCTGCTGCTTCTGCCACGGGCCTGTAGCCAGCTGCAAATGGCTAGAATTCGAGCAACACAATGCTCTGAAAAGCCACCCGTCGACCAGGTGCTCTGGGATGGGATCACAGCTCTTGCTGTCTGCTGGAAGGAAAGAGGTAATGCCATTTATCTCACCATAATCCCTTCTAAAAAAAGGTGCTGCTGGGGGCACTCTCTTTGAACAAGGAGTTCCAGGTGTAATGGAGGCATCGGGAACCCACCATTCCAAGGCTGCTTTCCTATCCCTTTCGACACCTGAGGCTTCTGCCAGCGCAGCTCTGCTGGTCAAGGACAGCCATGCAAAAGAGAAGGCAGTCCGGACCCCACCTGCGTTTGGCACTCTGCTGCGTTAAGTGCTTAGCAGCCTTGGCTGGAGCTTCAAGGCATTATAGCAATACAGATAAGGGGGGTTGGAAATGGTTGTAAGTTTTTAGAGCTGGTGTTTGGAGCAAGCATACATACATACCTCCATCAGGGAACTACTGACCCACAAAACCCGTCAGTACATGAGAAGTCAGTCTGAGATTTCTTTGAAAGATCAGTCTTTGCTGTGGGACATGGCAGTCATTATGGAGAACCAGAAGGACAGAGATTACGTGTTCCCAGATAATAAAGGAAGCACCGAAGCAAAGCCTTTACAAAAGCTGTGCTGCAACTTCCACCCAGCAGTTAGTTCCTCATAATTCTCTGTGCAGTGACAAAACTCCTTTGCGGTCAATAATTACAGCGAGCAACTGGCAAGGGCTCTCTACTTTTTGAGATGCAAGGATCCCCTTGGAAAGGGCCAGCTCATTTTTGTCATAGTCAACAAATGAGTGAAAGCTAAGGAGACCTGTTCTTCTATGGCAAAGAACCCAGAGAGCCCACAACAGCTCAGAATGGTTTTGACACTACCGATTCCTATCAAAATCTCTGCATTTGTCTTGTGAAGCTTGTGCTGTTTTCACACCTCAAGTGCTCATAGTGTGTGACACCCTTAAAAGGTTCTCACCGCACCCTGGTTAAAAAAAAAAAAAAAAAAAAAAAATCACTGAAGTAAGGCAACAAACCCAAGGAATAAAGCGTATCTCCTCACACTTTGGGGGACCTCTTCAAAAGATCTGGCGGCATCCCAGTGTGCCCTGGCACCCTGGTTGAGAATCACTGCTGCAGAGAGACTGCATGAAGAACAGGATTTCAACCCAGGCGCAGGACACCCTGAAGCATCCAGATTGCTGCCAGGGCAGTCACTGGAGCGGGTTAGCTGTTAGGACTCTCCAGCTGCCCTGCAGCCCTTAACGATGAGCATCACACTTTGTTCCTGCAGACTGAGGACCGCGCAGAGGGTGGGAGGTGAGTGGTAAGCCCAGCTGCCCCTAAACAGCCTCTCAGCTCCTCTGTGGATTAATGGGTCTGCTTTCGCCAGCAGGTGTCGCCCTTGTCCCAAGGAAGTTGCATCAGTATCAGGACGCCTAGAGATCGAGCTAAGAACAAAAGCCGTTAAAAATACCCCAGCGATTCATTTCTGATGTCCAAGAGCAACTGAGGCTTGTTTCATGTCCCAGCTGGGTGCTGTTCTTGTGCAAGCTACATGTACATTTGATGGAGGGCAAGAGGCCACAGAGAAAACTCTGCCCTACTTTCCTCCCTCTCCTCCACCCATCTCCACACCGCCAACCTCTCCACACCCCCAAGGGCCAGGCCCTGCCCAGGGAGGGGATTGCCCTGATTAAAGCCAGCAGTACAAGCCCAGCTGTCCCCGGTGGAGATAACCACTGCCTGAAAGGAGGGTAAGCACCACCATTTCATATGCTGGCTTTTCCTGTCTGGGTGGGGGTTGCAGGCCAAGTGGCTGGGGAATCTCCCCTGGCTAAGCAAACCCTCCTGTTTTCTGGGGCTCTGAGAACCAGAACGGGACCAAAACACCAGCCACAGCCAATGGGGAGGGGGACACGGAGAGAGGGGACCCACTTGCCTGACACTTGATGCTGCAGGATAAACACGTTAATCTTTCTTCTTTTTGGGGGGGGGAGAGGGAGGAGCAGTGGATGGAAAAATCACAATGTGCTATGTTAAAGGACACATTCACCAGTCCGTTCATAGCATCTGATGAATTAGGCTGTCGCCCATGAAAGCTCATGCCTCTCTCAACCAATTAGTTTCCAAGGTGGCACCTTGCCCAGCCTGTTACATGACCTGGGAGCAATGCAGCGCATCATCTCTCTGCCGCCTGCTTGGAGAAGGCCCCAGGTTCAGCCCCGTGAAATGGGTTGCAATGGACTTACACAAGAAGCTTGCCCAGAGCAGAGGGGAGTAGATGATCACACCTCAGGGACTCCAGCATCCCTCCAGGTGATCATCCCAACAGATCCAATCAAACCACTCAGCCTCTCTCAGCCGTGCCCCCTCCCGTCCCTTTCCCTTCTACATAAACCCTTTCTTTTTGCCAGTCCATTCCCAGCATCTGACCATTACGTAAAGCTCATACTTCTATAAACCAATTTGTTTCTCCAGTGCCACTGTCCTGCCTTTCCCACTAGCATGGCAGACCACCTCTCCATATATTAGGGAAGAGATGGATCCTTCTCCATAAAGGAGTTTTAACTGCATGCCTTGTGGCAGCATCATGAAGCCCATTCCCAGGTCGTGACTGCATGGCCTAATACTGGACAAACGCAGAACGAGAGGATGGAGCTGAGGAACCACATGGAGCTGGTTCCTCAGAAAAGCCAAACCCTCCCTTCCGTAGAGAGATGTAAAACAACTGCCTCATACGCACTTGAGGGAGGTGGGGGATGAAGGGACAGGAAATGACAGACGCCGCCCAAGCCGAGTCACTAGGCTGGAGCCAGATGAATAAACCCACATGACTAACCTGTTACGGGCGAAATGAAGATCTCAGCCATTGCCTGGAACCACAGAAGCCAACTCCAATGCAGTGCTAAGACAATGCGGATGTTTTTAACTACATTTTTGGCTGCAAGTGCAGTCTCTTGCCCTAATATGCATCATTCAACTGCTCAAAGAAGCTACTCCCAGGAGCTAAGTGCATCTTTTGTTTTCATTTAGGGGCTAGTGACACACGCCACACCTCAAGAAGCTTTTGGCAACACAGTAATAGATGGTTGTAGAGTGCCATGGTTGCAGACAGGCCCAGAGCTGCTTCTGAAGGTACAGCAGGTTCCTTAAGGGAACCAGGATAAGCTCTACCCCAGCAAGCAGCCCCCAGCCCGCTCCTTCCATTAGGAATCTATACTGGAAACCCTCTTAGTATAACTGGCCTGAGTTTTTTTTCATATCAGACCACTTCAAAACTGCCCATTCTGTGACATCAGCTCCCCTATTAAATGCTGTATTTAGACCGGGTCATGGAAGACAGGGGCGTGCAGACTCTCACCGCTCTTGAAAACCTTGGCTTTGAGCTTCCTGTACCTAGTCAGCCACATTCCCAACGCTGTGCACAGCGCTCAGCAATTTAGGACAAGCCTTTTGTATTACTCTGGCTCTTGCAGCATATGTTTACGCTCCAGAAGTAGAACGGAGGGAAATATGGCTCTCTACTTATTTTACTTAAAAATTGAAGAGGGTGATGGCCTGCCTAGTACTGTCTGTACTTACAAGAGATTTCACTATTATCTTCTGTGCTGTGCCTAGGAACTGCTGCAAGATGAGTCAAAATATGCACGAGGGATATGTAAAACAGCAGTGGGACACCAATTTCCTGTCTTTATTGGATTCCTGGCCTTGATTCAGTCTTCAAATACGCAAAAGACTATGTAGTACTCTTTTCTACTGGTATTTCATAAACAGAAAAAAAAAAGCAGCGCTCCTTCTAGTAAACAAGGGCTTGAGTCTAATTATGGTGCAATTGCTGCCAAAGAAGACGGGCCTCAAAGAAAAGGGCACGCTTTGATCTCTGCGTATCAGAACGGACTGAGGTCAAACACTAATGCTTCAATGGGGAACGTGTGGGGTGAGGAGAGAAAGCTCGGTAACTTGCTTTTATTGTATTTATCAAATCATTTTGCAAAGCTGCCGCCCATACTTCCAAGATCGGTGCTGAAGCATGTATTAATAACTATGCCACTGTATTTTCAGCGTATCAGGGACCAAACACCTATGAAGCCTGCCGATGTTTCCATGGAAATACAGCTCCGATACCTGCTAAATAAAACTGACCTAATTCTTTCAAGTTTCACTTTGCATCAAGGGCACTGTGCTTTTGTGACGTCTCTGCCACTCATTCACCTGACAGGGCTGCAGCAGAGGTGAAACGCAAAGGTTTTGCTGTCCAGTGGTATGAACACATGGCTTTCCTCCGTCCTGTGAAGACAGGGCATGACATGCCCAAGCACCCTTTTGCAGCTGCTGAAACATGAAGTCAGTCTGAGTGTACCACGAGACCAGCTGTAGAACACCTTGATCCAGGTGAAAGCAAAGCTCAGAAATGGGCCAGAGCAAGGTAAAGGTCTCATCATCTAGACAACTGTTAGCAAAGCATTACCTCTTGGAAGGAGCATGAGAAACATAGGCCGATAGGAATTTCTGGTGCAAAAATGGTGAATAGCCAAGGCACTGCCTACAGTGAAGGAGAAACTTGTAAGAGCTATGCTAATTCTGCCAGACTCCTCTTAACAGACCTGAGAACAAGAGTCTTTGGAAGATTATTTTTTTCTAAAGACAAAATGTTTTTTGTCTTCTTGTTGTGAGTCTGGGCAAAATGGAGTTTAGAGGTTTTATGGAGGATCCTAAACCTGGGTGAGGAATGTCCTCAGCACACTAGGCAGGATTATTTTGGAGTCACCTCCCCTGACCTTAGGAAAAAAAATCCACATTATTCACTGTTATGTAGGCCAGGGACAAAAATACAGCTTGGGTTAACCAGGCAATGTTTGCAGCCACAGTCCATGCCTGTCCTAGTGAAGGGAGAAGGAAAACAACACCCATCAAGGAGAAAAATATTTTTTTAAACATGCAAAAATTGAAGGGAAAAATACATACAGGCTAAAAATGGAGAAGAAATGATCAAGACAAAGGGACAATGCTGACTGAGTACTAAAGCACTCAAGAGAAAATAGGAAGAAACACAAAACACCCCTCAAATCCTTTATACCTGCCAGAGTTCTGTTTAAGCAAGTTTCTTTTTGGTCTATGGGTAGCTTCTGAAAAAGAAAAATTAACAGAACCTTTTGGTTCACAAACCCAGTCAAGCATTTTCTCTTTCTATTTCTCAGCAGTGATTTTACAGCCCAGCTCTGAGATCCCAGACCATCGAGCCTTCATTACTTCTCCAAAGTACCATGCTACATAGAGGATCAAGCTAAATGAAGCCCCATTCGCTGCACAAAGAAACAAAGTACATTTTGCAATACAAGGCTCTTGAATTTTATTGTTCGCTTTTCTCACTAATTCGCAAAACGCATTAATCTGCAATGGAAGGCATTCATGGAAATGAGCAAGGCTCTATCTTAATAATTCTTCTGAGTTATGGACAGTTGAGCAGGGAACACATGGTACTGGCGGTATAAGTGTGTGCCGTTTCAAAGTTATACTGCCGCATATTGAGTAATTGTATTTTAATTTGGTGTTTAATGACTTGAAGCCATACAGCAAGTTCTACGATATCCTTTAATTGTCAGGGCTTTTATGCATCATATTAAATTACATTTCCTTTTGAGAAAACTTGGAAGTTTGTAGGCCTACCACAATACTTCAACCAGTTTTGCTTGCTTGCAAGGGAACAAGTTCTCCTCTGAGAAGGCAACTAAGTGATATATGTATTCTAAGCCCACGTTAACAGATGATTATATGGCAGCTTATGGTCAGACGCTCTGATCATTTGGGGACTTTGCACATACAGCTCACCACCTCTTTTTGACACGGGGCACCTTCTGTGTCACCCTCTGCTAGACTGCAACCCCAGCTGCCCGTGGGACTGGTGTGTTGTCCTTTTACATCTGTGTTGGCTGAACTTCCAAGAAATGGCCTCCAACAACAGAGGATGGGTAAAGATCTAATCACACTGAGCCTTCTCACTTTGGCAAAAGGCTGGCCATGCCAGTGGGGTAAATCAGACTGCTGGGAGTGCCACACTTCCAGAGCTAGCTTGGGGTTGCTCTATGCTGCCCAGAAGGGATAAATTGGTGCGGGGGTAGGCTGGGGTGGGGGCGTAAATATGTGCACTGTGCATGGTGTGGATCCAGGACCAGCCACTGCATGCTGCACGTGGGTCAGCACAGACCTAGAGATAGCACCAGGGGAGAGATGACAGGGCTCCATGGGCTGTATCATGGACACCCCTGCCTTACACAAGAATCACGTGGTGGGAGACTAGTTACCTGAGGTGACCAATTCCCTGACGCTGAAGCAAGAGAAGAAAGACTAACAGATGGGGGCTATGTCCCAGAGCAGAAACAGGAGGGCAGGGAGAGCAAGGACTGTGTACTACTTAGGAGCTTCTGACTTCAGCTCAAAGGACACTCAAAAGCCATGAGAAAACTGAAACAGAGAAATGCTGGGAGCTTATCTGTCTACCGCTATTTCTCATGCTGGCTGAAATCAAGACCAACTGGTTCTTTGAACCCCTTAAAAAGTCTGTTGGCTTCAACTATCACGTCCCTGAAGAAATGAACAGGAAATTCAGGGTGCCTAGAGCACTGAGAAGGGGTGTGAGAGTTATAGGCCTCAGGGAGGTGGGGTAAGAGATAGGCTCTACCTTGGAGGTGGTGTCAAAGAGGGCAGGAAGAGCCAGCACCACAGCCCATCCAACTGTGCCTTCAGAAAGGGCCAAGGGCGCTGGGAGCTGACCGCAGTCACGGGTGGGAAACCAGGGCTTGGAGACAGACCCAGCACAAGGAAATTACAGGAACAATGCAGGACACTTCTACAGAAAGCAAACCTGTCAAACCAGTACCTGTGCCAATGCCTTTCTGAATCTCACGTCAGACCCAGCAGCTCCAGGCAAGGAACAAGCTTCCGTGTGGCCCAGTTTTCAGCAGTGATAGCAGGAGCTAGGGCTCACTGATCCACATGGGCCACTCCAGTCCTGTTAAATGAGACAATTCCCAAAAGCCTCTCTCGAGCTCAAAAATGAACACAGCAATAACAGCCCCAGTTGGTGACAATTACGGCCTCATAACAAACATGCAGACAGTTTCTTGCTCTAGTTCACGCTACCCTGCCACCTGCACTGGTCCCAAGGCACAACGCTTTCAGCATTTCTAATATACCCTTCCTATTATGAAGGGGTTAAAAGAGATGTAAAGTTGAGAAGAAGCTTCAAACTGCTGAAGTCAGCTGCCCCAAACCAAGTTTAGCTCTAAAGTCTCCGATGCCTGGAAACAGGAAGCCGGGGGTGCTCAGAAGCAGTCAGTCACTGCGATGGAGATTCCTTCAACTATCCTTTTTTTTAGGAAAGTAGGGAGAAGAAAGATAACATACTGTTCAGGGAGTGATTAAATTGTGTAATCTCACTATCTCAAGTGATGTAATTTGATGTAATCAAATAAACAAATTACTCTACGTTAAAGAAGGAGCTTGTCGAGGCTTGTTTCCCTACATTTTAGCCTGATTCTCTTCCCCTGTAAACACCATACAGAAATCTCACCAACTAGATGAAGTTGTTGTAAAGAAAGAAGAAAGAAAAAACATGAATATATTTGCTTCAAGCACCTAATAGCTTCAACGAACAACCCCCCACCTCCTCAAACACAGCCACGGAGAAGTTTAGATAAGTTTGATAAAGAAGGGAACAGATTTCAAGGGGTTGTTTCCTTGATATAATCTTCCCAATTCAATTGCCTGATCCATTCAGAGACTCTGCTGAAATGTTTCTGATGAGCAAGGATCCTAGTTTTCTCCAATAAGAAAAAATCCCGTTTCATGTTAAAAAAACAAACCCAAAATCCACATTTTTCCATGATTAAAATGAACATCCTCTAATACACTGATGTATATATAGTCGTGTTTCATTTTGCTCATAGAAAAATGTGGATTTTAGATTACTTTTTAAAACCTGAAAACTGGGGATTTTTTTTATTAGAGAAACCAGGATCCCTGCTGATGAGGGAGGGCAAGGGGGTGCGGTGGGGACTGAATTAGTCCTCGTTCAACCGTGGCTGAACTTGAACACCTTTCAGTGACAAGTAAGCGCAACTACCCTGCTAATGAATCCAAAGGAAGTCATGCACCTGGATTTGAAGCCAGGCGTTAAAAAAAAAGAAGAAAAAAAGAAAAGAAGAGATGAGGTACATAAGGTATAGCAAGAGATAACAAAGAAAACCACCAAGTGAAAACTTGACAAAACCCTCAAGACATTGTAATGCCAGCAGATGATCAGGGCTAGTCAACGCAAACTGTGCAGGAGCGCTCCAGTTTGGGAGGTGAGAGGAGAGGACTCTGGGATAACTCAGGACAATGTAATTGCTGCCTGCCAGAGCATAAAGGCCTTTACTTACACCCGCCCCGCTGCTGGAGCAGGGCCCAAAGCAGTGGCGGTGCCTCCGGCTGAGCAACAGTCAAACCCGGGGTCTGGAAGGGCGTTCGCCACTGAAATGATCCGCTGGGGGATTTTCCTAGTGTTGATTTTTAAACAGTAAGTTACAGAGCCCAGTTTTCCCAAATGCTGGCAGGAACACACTCAGCCAGGCAGCTCCTTTGACAGGAATGACCAGCTGAGAGCCCCTGGGCCCATCTCAATCCCAGTCCAACACAGGCTGCTGCCCTCCAGAGCAGTGTTTCTCAACCGGTGGGTCTCAAGAATATAGGAAAGGGTAGCGAACAAGCTTTAAAAATAGATCGAACTTTAAAGATGGATTCTCCTTTAAGGAAGAAAAGTGTGGGAAACTGGCTTTTCCCTTGCAGGCTAGCAGAGTTCCTGCTTGGGGCCCCCTATGCCCCACCTCCCTGCCCCACACACAGGGAAGATGGGGCCTGGAGGCAGGAGGCAATGGGTCGGGAGTGAGAGGGACTGGGTCAAGACTGACCAGGGATGTTTACAAATGAGTCCTGGTACAAAAAAGGTTGAGAACCACTGCTCACTTAGCCTTGCTCCAGCCCCTGCCCTGTGCTGGAAGCTGGGAAACCCTGGTAGCTCCCCTGCACCTTGGGTATTACCCTCCTCTTGTGCTGGGTTCCTTTGCACTACAAAAAGAGCTCGAGTGCTTTATCTCAGGCCCTCAATTCAGCTCCTGAATAGCCTGAATACAGCACCTGATGGGAATCCATTACCAGCAGCCCATTTACCTAGCAGGTACTTCAGTCAGGCAGGAGCTTATCCTCATTTTCTAGGCACTCCACACCAAAAGCCACTACATTAATGCAGTGAAGTGACTGGAGGCAACCAGCTTCCCCATCTACTTCACCCCCCTCCTTCCAGATGTTGACAGTTAAGGGCCTCTGCCAAAAAGGCTGATTTATTTCTCTTTTAAAAAGGAAAGAAAAGAGGAAAAGAAACCAGGGGGATGCATGTCTCTAAACCTCCTATGCCCCAGTACATCTCCGAGTTCCCTGTTGCATCAGAAGGCGGCTTCCCCCCCCTGGACTGGATCTCTCTGCCAAGCTTTGTGACCTCTTTGCAGAAGGGCTGGTGGGAGGGATATCTCCTTTGCCAGGCCTTGGAGGCAGTGCTGTTTGGAGGCGGCAAAGCCAGACTGGAGGCACACAGAAAACCAGGCGAGTACAACTCTTGGCCCAGATGCTATCAGCACTTGAACAACGGAGGTAACTGCAGTTCAAGCGGGGCTGTTCCTCCGAGGCACTGCTGCATTCCTAAAGCCACCCCTGGCATGAATCCACATGTTCGACCTGGTGCTCTGCACGCAGCATCGAGCACCCCAGAGCCGGGAAACGCCACTGCTGTGGGAGCACGTACGTGCATATTTAATGCAGCCTCTGCCCCAAAGCCTGGCCCCATAGGGAGTATATGGAAGAGCCGTTTCTGGAACCCGATTCCTCTGGGTCCCACTGCAGGATTTGTCCTCAGAGTAGCAGAAGCCTCACCAGGCAAGCAATATGTGATCGTGTCGATAAAAACGTGCAATGCACAGGCAGAATTTGAATGGCCCAAATAGCTGTTAGAAACAGCAACAGACAGTTTAAGTGCTTGACTCGGAACATCAGCGCTATTAAAAAAATGCAAGGAAGTTGCATCCAAAAAACACCCAGAAGAAAAGATGCCCAGAAACTGCATCGTGCACAGCTCAGTAGCAGGGCTGGAACCCGGATTGTGAGCTCTGCAGCTCAGACCCCCACCACTAAGCTAGAGGAGTCCAGCTGAGGGAAGGGAACAGCAAGGATGAGTCACTAAAGGAAATAAAGGCAGCATGTTTCCCCAGGGGCCTACCCCTTGATTTGCCAAAAACAGTGAAATATTTGGGATCAGTGTCCTGGAATGATTTCCTGCCCCTGGAGATCAGCAAGACCAGTAAAGATGAACTGCCCCACACACTCCCTCCCCAAGGCACCCAGGCTGTTGAAAAGCATATACTCTGTGATTCAAAGCAGGGCTATGTCCTCAGCTATCTACAAAGTGATCTTGTGAAACCCCCTGGTTACCTCATCTCCTTCTTGGAGAAAACAAGATCCTTGCTCAACAGCCAGGGCTGCCAAGTGCACAGGATTAGCAGCAGTTCCCGGAAGAACCAAGGCAAGAGCTCAGTTTTCCTGCCACCTGCAAGACAGTGGTGGGAACCTGGGGGCAGGGGCTGCTCAAGCAGTGTGGGGGGCTGGGCGGGGGTCAGCACACTGGGTGGGACAGCAGAGCCATGAATGTTCTCAGCAATAAGCCTCTAAGCATGTGTGAACAATGCTCCACCTACCAGTGCCCTCTAATTTGGCAAGACAGGGAGGGATAGCAAAAGGCCCAGCCCAGCTCTGATCAGCCCTTGCTCTCCCCTGCCAGTTTCTGTTTGATTTTGCTTTCCATTCCCCTGGAACAGCTTTTGCCAAAACTTACAAAAAGATCAGCCTCAGGCAGACAGAGAGGGTGGAAAGTTCCAGCACAAATGGTTAAAGTTTGGCAGAGCTAATAGCAACTGAAGGCAGGGGCTCAATGGAAAGTGTTAGGTAATTCTAGGCGGAGCTGGGAGCAACCCTGATTGTCCATGTACATAATCACTGCAAAAGCTTAAACAAAAAGCAGCCTGACAGCTCAAACTAAATGACATCTGCCACCCTCCAAATGTCTTATAGCTCCAGTTAAAAGCAGAAGGCAGGGCAAATCTCCACCTTGCAGACTAACTATATCAGAAATGTAGCGCATAGGTTTTCAGTGCCAGAGTCATTTCTGCCGCAGCGCTCAGCACAGCAGCCAATTCGGTCGGCATCGAAGCAGCCGTGTCAGCATGGAGCAGGGCTGCAGGGTGAGTGAAAGGAGTGCGGCTGCTCATGACCAGCCCATGCGATGGGAGGCCTCTGGAGCAGTTCCTCCCTGAACCACCCACCATGGGCAGAGCCATCGCATGTTACAGGAAATAGAGAGCACAGAGCAACGCACGTGGGCAGCTCCTATCTCCACACATTCACAGCAGGAACACGTTGAATCAGCCTGCAGGCAGCAAAGAAATTACTTTGGAAGGCTCCAAATGCCAGAATACTGTACACAATGCCAGAGAATCTACCAAATCTACCCTGCCAGAAAGATACTGGTAATTTAAAGACCTGCTCTAGTTCAAACAAGGTATTTGTTCAGCCCCAGCTAGGTGATCCCAGCCAAGGCTTTGTTTACCCGGGTCTTCAAAACCTCTAGGGATATCTTCCACTTCACACAGCAGTACCTAACAGTTATAATTAAAAACTGGTATGAAAACAGTCTGAAGACAAGCAACACACAAACCAGCATAACAGCAGCTCATCAAGTTGCAGAGGGCTGCAAAACAATTCCAAGGAAGTGGCTTTATTTGCTTTCAAGAAGGAAACAGAAGTTGAATTGGGTAACATTAAAAACCTGCATGTAAAGAAAGAATCCCACCAACTTGAAGGGCTGAATTTTTAAGGGTGATACCCAAGCAGCCACTCTCAAAAGAAACAGGAGTTTAGAAGCACTGCTTTTGAGCAATCACTTCTTTCACTTAAAGCAAGTCTCACATTCACAGTGTCAAAAGGGAGAACAAAATTGCCACACGCCCAGACTAGCAATGAGACCAATTCACAGGGCATTAAGACACCACACAGACATACAAACTATAGTTTGTTTCGACTGAATCAATGCAGTCTTCTCACAAATAATCGTCTCAACAATCAGCATGCTTTGTGCCAGTTTAACTGTTTAGACCTCTCCAGAGTGATGAGATCACGACAGCCTAGACCCACCCCTGACTTGATTCAAACAGGCATGTAAAGAAGCCAGCATATTGTGCAATCTGGAAATCCCCGAGCAAAGGGGTTGTGCATACATGCATGCCAGTGGCATCAGTGGCAAACTCGTCCTCTGCAAACTGCTGAATTATCTAGAACGCACACTATACTCCATACTGACAAAACGCTCCTCCTAACCCACCAGGGACCTGCCCCCAGTCAATGAGAGTTTTATGCTATGATGATCAAGAAGAGAATATGGGCTTTTTTTAAAAACTGCCCTTAATTGTTCAGTGCCAGGTTACTGTATCAACACTGCTTAGAGCAGAGTTATCTTCCTTGAGGACGGACGATATTTTTACCTTTTCTCACCCTGCTGTTTCTCCCCTTCTTCCCTGTCTGTTCACCCGTCCTCTGAATTTCTTTGCCATCAACTCCCAATTCTCAGGGGGATTCACTTACAGCTCCCATCTTTTAATCAGTTAAAGTCACCAGCAAAGAAAGCGTTATTTAGGCTCCTAACTGGAGCTCGAGTTAATGCCTTGGGGTAATCAACAGCAAGTAGTTAGTTTCTAGGTCTTTGCAGTCAAGTTTCAGGTCTTCTGCAGGTTTCACTCAGAACAGCTTTAACCCCACAGCTATGAAAACTAGAAACTTTTAAAATGTAAAATGGAAACCTGGACTCTTCAAAATCTAAACGTGGCATACGTGCAACAAAGCAGATCTGATAAGCCCTGCCAGCTGCAGGTTTGACACCTCTGTCCTAGCTGGAATCATAGAAAATGAGGGTTGGGAGGGATGTCAGGTGGTCATCCAGTGCTAGTCCAACCCCCTGCTCAAAGCAGGACCACCCCCAATTAGCTCATTCCAGCCAGGGCTTTGTCAAGGCAGGCCTTAAACACCCCCAAGGATGAAATCAACCAGCATGATTTAGTTTGGCCACTTTGGTTTCATAAAAACAAGCAGAACAATTCAGAGGGCTGGTTAACGAGAAGTCTCACTTACCAGCAGCGTTGGCTATAGCCAGTGGCAGTCCTTGAAGCTGATGGACCTGGATGCCAGATGCTCCCAAAGCGCTGAGATTAATGGTCTGAAGGCCTGGCATGGAGGAGAGCTGAGCGGCATTCACGGTGACGGTGCCACTAGGGGCAAGAGTTGTGCTGGTGCTCCCAGTTTGCCCCAGCGATACACCTTGCAGTGGGGCCAAGGTGATTGTCTGAGTGGCTGGGTTCTGCAGCTGGATTGTCTGCCAGCTGACCTGCCCATTGGGCCCCATGGTCGGTGTTCGGATAATAATCGGCCCAGAGTTGGGGACTGCTTGGAGCTGAAGGTTCTGCAGGGCATCCTGGGAGATGGCTTGGGCAGTAAAGGTCTGGCCAGAGAGCGGAGCAGTTTGAAGGGCCTGAATAGTTTGGCCTCCTTGGACAAGCTGAGGCTGTATTAAGATCTGCTGCTGCTGGGACTGCTGGTTTTGATCAGCCTCCTTCTGCTGACCTGGCTGAAGGGCCACCTGGTTCTGAACAGAGTCCGAGTTCTGATCGCTGCTAACCCTTGGGGGCGTCTGGACCTGCACATTTGTTCCCATGGTTCCACTGGTGGAAAAATTCACGATGCCCATGTTACTGGGTGTGGTGGTCGTCGAGAAGCTATTGGCATTGGTGAAAAATGCGCCAGAGCTAGTGATGGAAGTCGCCAGGCCGGAAGAGCTGATGGCAATACCAGAAGTGACTGGCTGGGAGCTGCTGTCTGGAGAACCCGAGCTACTTAAAGTGACCGTCTGAGACGTGGGAGCCAAGCTGGCTGCCACACTGTTGACAGGTAGCAAGGTGATATTGCCATTCAAAGCCACAGGGACATTGGCCACATATTGTGTTTGTCCCGAGAGGCTATTATTGCCTAAGCCGACACCCTGGATGGGCACAGCCTGCTGTAAGAGATTTGGCATGGCTGCTAAAATGTTGCCTGTACCAGCTCTACTTGTAATGATCTGCTGGTTCGTCCCAGGGATGATCTGAAGCTGGCCAGAGGCATCCTGCTGGACGTTCACTGGGGTCGGGGTAGTGGCAAACTGTAATTGCTGCCCGTCCACAGTTTGGAACTGTGGGATTACCTGGTACTGGATGTTGGGGATCATACCGGGCAAGCCAGCCAACACCTGCTGGTTCTGCAGATTGGGGGTGGCAGCGACCACGTACTGCCCAGTGCTCACAGGGCGGCTCTTTGATGACGAGTCACTGCCATTGTTGCCGTTGCTCCCTTGCTCCTTAGAGGTGGCAGGCATTGCTGAGCCAGTGGAAATGATTTGCCAGCCATTGGCGCTCTGGGCAAGCTGAGCAGTGGCAGCTGTGAGGTCCAGCTCGCCCGAGCCTCCTTGCTGGCTCTGGGAGCTGTTTGAGTTCTCATTGGGAGACTCAATCCTACTGCATGTGGCTGCCAGCAGAGCCAAGGGAGAAGGCTGGGATTCCTGACAAGCAGAGAAAGGAGGAGTTAATTCGCCAGACCCCGCCTAGTGGGCAGTGCGCATGAGAGCAAACAGGGAGGAGCTGCCGCCCACAAGATAAACACTCCTCAGTAACAAACACCCACCCACAGCCGGAAAGCACCCCAAGCAGACATGGGCCTGACAGGGCTTAGGGGTTTCTGAAAATAAAGTGTGGCTGTAAAACTATCTCTGCAGCTCAGCCCAAAGCAAGGGGGTTTCCCCTCTATGAACTGATATGTCCTAAGAGGAAGCGCTGCTGCTTCTAGACACCCATCTGAGTGCGTCCTCGATTATAAAGATGTGTTTAAAGCAGCAGCTGTGCTAAGTATTTCTGGAAGACCAAGGGTGCCGGATATGACCCTGGCGAGGCAGCCACTGCTCTTTGTAGGCTGTGTTCATACTGGAGGCACCAGAATGCTGTCCAGAACTGCTTTAGGCAATGTCTGTTGGGCATTTATATTCTTCTTTCCTCTCCCTGGGGTGAGAAGTGTGTGCAGTGGAGAGCTTGGTCAGGGATTTATTTAAGACTGTACATACAGGCTTACACACTAGAGCTACTGTATGTGTTAGAGAAGGGAGGTCAAGGAAGCAACCGGCAGCCCCAAACTTAAACCTCCTCTCTCTCAATGAGATTCCTAAGCTTGGCCGTCAGAGAGCTACTGGTCATGATGCTACCATAGGAAGTCCCAGGACTCAAATCAAACAGTTCTGTGGGTTCACAGGGCATATTAGTACTTCAACAGGGCCCCCAAACAAGAGCAAAGCATGGAGCTAGCCCCATTTGGACAGCTGTCCACTCCCCAACACATACCCATGCGCTGCTCACCTGACCCTCCCCATTGCCTTCACTGATGCTGTTGCTGCTGCTGTCACCACCTCCTTCTATTTTCTCAGACTTCACCACAGCCACTTCTTCAGGGCTCTCTTGGTCTGCAGAGCAGGGGGGAGAAAGGAGTGAGGTCAAGGGATAAGCAAAGCAAGAAAATGTTCACCAAAAGGGAATGAGGAGAGAGGCTGAGCAGGGTGACAGTGGGGGAAGCAGATGCATCTTTGGTGCATATTGGGAATGTGGGGGCGAACCCACAAAGAAACTTGTATACTCCCCACCCCCATTATTAGAAAGGGTCACTATGTGTGCTCCAACAGATTCTGGGGGACAAGTGAAAACAGGGTGGGTGGGAGTGCAAATCAAAGGTTAATGAGTGCTTCAAGGGGGGACACTGAGCACAGCACACCGCCCAGCACCTGCTGGCTGACCCATCAACAAGTCCAGGGAGGGGAAAGCAGACATGAAGGAGAGCAAAGAGCAGCAAGAGGGAAGGGTGGGAACGCAGAGTGGGTGGACAACATGGTAGGACCTGCCAAGGGCCAACTCCCTCCATTTTTGGGTACTTCAGGGCCACAAGAAGGGAAACGGGAAGATAAAGGGGGGGGGCGCTGGGACAATGGAGAGACTGTGGGAAAAGGGAGCTGAAGCTGGAGGGTGGCACAGAGGCCAGAGGGAGGACCGAGCTCCACTCCCCAACCCTCCTGTCAGTCCCTGCCTTCCCGCCCAGCCCTACTCCACCACCCCCCTCAGGCCTCCTTCACTCCCACCCCACAGGAAATCCCTTTGCCCAGCAGCAATTCCAGCCTGTTCCCTTGGGACCTTGCCCAGGAGACTTCACCCTCCCCCGCCCTTCCCTGGCACCTCCCTCGGCCCTGCCCTCAGATCTGGGTGGGGGTCAACCCTTCCCTGCCTCCCCTCAGCTCCGAGGGCAAGTGGGAGGGAAGAACCCTCAGAGCTGCCCTCCCCCAACCCAGGGATCCCAGGGCCTTTGCCTCCCCCCACCTCAGAGCCCCCAGCAC